CTCATCCACTATTGCTACTGCCATTGTAGACTATGCATTGTCTACAATGGACAGTAGCAGTAGTGGATTAAGAAGTTGGCGTAGAAATCAACCAATCATAATCGAATGTGAGGAGAATAATCAACCATGATTGATCGATTTCTATGCCTACTTCTTAATCCATTACTGCTACTGCTCATTGTAGACCACGCATTACAGTCTCATCCACTACTGCTACTACCATTGCATTGCATTGGATTCGCTATCGGCCTTACGGTCTTTACTGTGACTTAAGCCCATGGCACATACAAAAACGTAAGGCCGTAATACGTAAGCAGTAAAGAAATCGTAAGATTGGATTCGCTACTGGCTTTACGGTCTCTATCGTGATTGGCCAATTCGCTTACTGATTATGTCTTACGGCCTTACGTTTTTGTATGTGCCATGGGCTTAATGGGTGCATTCAGTACTACAGCCGCTCACTGAGCGCTCAGTGAGCGCTTGCATCTTATTGGTATATTCCGTTAGAACTAAAAATATAGACCAAACAGATACAAGAGCTCACTGAGCGGTCGTGGTACTGAATGCACCCATTGCCTTCCCAGCCTATGACATTACGCCCACTGGTGAGACATCGCGTTTATCTTCTCGGTTATTTTCACGTTCATGGCTGTAGTCGGACGAACCAGACTAGCCAATAGAGATTGGAGAAACTCGCGTATTGTCGATAATTCCGTCTGACTACGACCATGGACGTGAAAATAACCGAGAAGGTAATGCGCAATGTCAAAACAGGGGTGGAAGGCATTAATTGCGCGAACTTATCATGGGCTTAACCCCGGATCTACAATAGAGTTTTAAGTCTTAAGTCATAAGAAATGGACGAATCGTAGTCGATAATTCTCCTCGAATTCGACTGTAATTGGTCAATTTCTTACGACTTATAACACGTAGATCCATTTAGTCCGGATCTACAATAGATGTTTTAAGACTTAAGCCGTAAGAAACTGACCAATTACAGTCGAATCCGAGGGGAATAATCGATTGTGATTCGTCTATTTCTTATGATTTAAGGCTTAAAATCCTATTGTAGATCCGGGGTTATGCAAAAGTCTGTGTTGCGGCCATTAAATGACAAGAAGGATCAATACCTAGGTGTCTCAGGTGTCGTGAATGTCAAGGAAAACTGAAAAGTTGAAAAAGTCTCGCAGAGTTTTGTGAGATCACTCGACCGGTCGACGCGTGTCTCGTCTCGTTTCGGGTGTTGCGTGGCCTCGATTATATTTTTGGAAAACGTGGCCAGCTTCGATTGTGCATTTGCATTTCTCAATTCATAGTTCCTTCATTTGTCTGCACGCGCAGACAAATCCGTGCGGTTAGTCACGGGTCACCGGTCACAGACGCCCAGTGTCTAAAGGGGCGTTTTGCTATTTTCATTTTCATTTCATCATCCTTTTGTCATGTCTGAAGTTCATCACAAGCAGCGACGAACGTAGCGCGATCATGCTACATTTTTGGAAAGTGTGACTGGCTTTGAACGCGCATTTGATTTTACGTTACTCACAAAACTACGTTTTCACTAAAGTTTTTACGTTATTCTTTAATTAGTTTTTGTTACTTGCCGCATAGGACGACTATTTCGATTACTGACTGTATCGACTCTGTGAGGAGTCGGGGCCATTCTCTCGCTAAGAAAAGGTTTTGTCACGTCTGCTCGCCGGTTTGAGGCGGTGGCCGGTGCATTGCATACCTATTGCACGAATTATTCAATTTCGAAGACCATTAGTGTCCCAATATCAGCCTGTTAGGCTGCCAATAGGTTAGGAGACCAATAAAACAAGAAGTTGAAGGCGTATAAATCCTAGCTGGTAGGAATAACTCTGAAAAAAATTACGCTTGTAAATAATTAATCAAGATAAGAGCAACATTCAGTTTTCAGTTTGTTTCCAGACAACAAAATGACATTTCCTACAGCACAAAAGTTGCAGCAACAATGTTGCAACATTGCAGCAATATTGCAGCGTTATTGCAACGATATTGCGTTTTGTGCTGTATGGGATTGTACTAGGTGTACAAATAAGTTTCCGGGTTTCACACATGGATGGCGCCAACGACACATGTAGTCGACATACATGTCTGAAGTTGTTTATTTTTTGTAGCTGCGACATCTGACGACAATAATCAATCAAAATATTTCCAGTTTCGCGACGAAAAAAAATTTTTATGCAATAGTGAAAATGTCGGGTTTTGTGCCAAAAAAACAGCATTCGCGGGAAGTCTTGCTTTTCTGCTTTCACTTGGTCAAAAATGCAGCTGAAGCACGTCGTTTGCTTGAGGAGGCTTACGGCGAACATGCACCATCGAAAACAATCTGTGAAGATTGGTTTAAACGCTTTAGAAGTGGCGATTTCGACACTGCGGACAAAGAGAGCTCCGGAAGACGGCGCGGCCGAATCGTTTCGGAAAGAAAACAATGCTCTGCGTTTGGTGGGACCAGAAAGGAGTGGTTTACTATGAGCTGTTGAAACTAGGCGAAATTGTCAACGGAGAACGCTACCGACAACAACTAATCAATTTAAGCCATGCATTGCTCGAGAACCGGCCAGAATGGGACACAAGACATGAGCGAGTGATTTTGCAGCAGGACAATGCACTGTGCCATCGCACTTCCATCATCAAGGACACCATCAAAACGCTGAAATGGGATCTGTTACCACACCCGCCGTATTCACCAGATCTGGCTCTTTCTGATTATCACTTGTTCCGGTCGATGGCGCATGACTTGGCTGGACTACACTTGGCCAGTTTCGAAGAAGTGCGAAATCGGATAGATAAATGGTTTCGGACCAAAAACGAGTCGTTCTATCGTCGCGGTATTCATGCATTGCAAGAGAGATGGCGAAAATGTATAGCTAGCGAGGGACGATACTTTTAATAAACCGTTTTTTGTTTTTTTCTTGAAATTTTGCATTTTTCATTGATCAAAAAAACCCGGAAACTTATTTGTACACCTAGTAAAGTTGATTCTACAATGAATCGATAGTCCTAAGGGTTATGGCAGAGAACAAGATATAACGAGACAACCGTGACGTAGGATAAGATAGAGAAAAACCGAGAACGTTGAAGCCGAAGCACTTTTCCGCACGACTGCGACTGCGACTTCTACGTTTTCCTCTGTCTTACCCTATGTTACGACTACGTCTCGTTACATCTCGTTCTTTGCCATAGACATAAGTTTTATCGGTGAAGTTGGCCAACAGCCAACTTGTACTATATACCAAGACTACGGATCATCGATTTTCTTAAGACTGGCCAAATTCGACTTTATTCCTTCCCACTAGTCGAGCTAAATGACTCGTATAATTAACAACTTGTAGATGCTAAAAATCATAGTCACCTATTTAAATTAAAACTGGTTAAAACTTACGACTTCCGACTCATTGTAGAATCAGCTTAAAAAGACCTCGTATCAATCTTATGAAAATTTTCTGGTCGAATTGGCTGAATTTTGAATATGTCATAGTCCTCATTCCTAACAAATGTCTCCATGGGATTAACTTCTTAAGACAAGTTTTGCAGTACACTTCCTGGAAGATTCGTTCTTAAAAAATTGGGTTTTCGTTTATTATTGATATTATATCATTATTGATAGATTGTAACAGGGATATGCGCGCGCGCGCGTGTGTGTGTATGTGTGTGTACCAGGTGTCCCAATTTAAACAATGACCTCGGAAACATCTCTTAATCAATGCATTTATAAGAGAAAAATGTTTTAGATGAAAGTAGAATGGTTTTGAGGCAGACGTATTTTGGCTACATCAGTTTTTTCTAGGTAGAGGTCCAAAAAGATATGGAGGTTACCTTCACTTTTTTAAATAAAATTGTATATTTTTTTACACAATATGATTCTTCTAATTATTCTACATACAAAAGTATTAAAGTAGGTATTGAGATGAATCAATTGATGTAAAGAATACATCTATTAAAATACTCTTTGTTAGTATAATCAAGGATGATGGCAGCATCGATGGTAGTGAGGATGATGAACGACGGATGGTCCCTGCTACGTTGAGGCCTTGGATAAAAATAAAGTATAAAATATCTCAAACTATTAGTTCTTCGAATTTTTACCTTGATACTTTTGTAGAATAATCGGAGGAATCATATTGTGTAAAAAAAAATCATATAATTTTATTTAAAAAAGTGAAGATCTTCATGTGTGTCTTTTTGATGCCTCCACCTAGAAAAAAATAAATGACCAAAATACATCCTTGAAACCACTCCACTTTTTATCTGAAACATTTTTCTCTAAAATAGACTGTTTAAAAGATATTTTTGAGGTCATAGTTAAAAATGTGACACCCGGTATATTCACGAAATATATATATATATATACGCACGCGCGCACACGCACACACATATACATGTATATACATATTATATATCTTTCAATAATGATATAATACCAATATAATAAATGAAAACCCAATTTTTTAAGAATGAACCTTCCAAGAGATGTAGCGCAAAAACTAGTCATAGCAGGAGGTTGGTCCTATAGAGATATTTGTTTAAAATGACGAGAACTACTACATATCCAAAATATCCAATTTAACCAATTTGACTAGAAAGCTCATTTCCATAAGGTTTGTACAGGGTCCTTTCATCAAATTTAATAAATAAAAAAAAATTTTCTCACAGTTATGCTTTTTTTATTATATGTATTAAAGTAAATGAATAGTGAATAGTTTTATAATTTAATACATTTAAATCAGAATAATAAAACAATATAAATTGTGATGTTTATTTTTTTTTTTTGACACCATGGTGAAAAAATTTATCAGAGTTGGTCCGTAAAATATAAAAAATTACAAATTCAGACAGTAATTCAGAAATTTGACGGAAAGTATCTCATTTTATTTGTAACTGTCCGAATTTGTACATTTCGACAATTTTCGGAAACATTTGGGACGAATTCGGACACATTTTGACTACATTTTGGACACATTCGGATAAATTTTTCCACCAGGACAGTGTATTATAATTTGTATATAATATTTTTATTTAATATAAGGTTTCAGAGAAAACTTATATGCATCGTTTTATTGTATTGAAAAGGAATAAAAATTACAAAAACTTTGTTCATATATCACTAATAATGGATACCACTAGACACTACAAAAATCAATTTGAGGATTATTCCATTCCGGTTAGCCGTAATATAGTCAGGGATGATACTAATATGGTATAAAATTTGTTTTTCATATATATTTTATCATTTAATAAGTAAATATTTAAAATTATTAGTGATTAAAAGATATTTGATAGATAAGTGATTATATGGTATTTGATAGACAAAAATAAATTTTTTTTAGATTCATGATGCATTTAAGTCATTATTAACATCAAAAATTAAGAATTTTATAGAAGTATTGAAAAAAAATAAAAGAAAATGGCTCGACAGCAGTGACTATTCTGTATACACTGGACAAGCAGGAATTGCATGTACATTATACCATTATGGAAAATATTATGATGATTCTGTGTATACCAATGTAATTATAAAACTTCAACATGCTTTTAATTTAAAATTAGATGTCATATTGATATGTTAAATTTTATAGATGGCAGCAGAAATATTGCAAAAATGTGCCACAGAATTCAAAAGCCGACATGAAGTCACATTTTTGACTGGAATTGTAGGTCCATTAACATTAGCAACAATTATACTACACTCACAGCAAAAGAAAGAACTAGCAGAACAATTAATTCTTAAGTAAGAATTTAATAATAATTTTATAATAATTAAATTGCGAATGTGTTTTTGAAAATGCAAAATTATAAATTTTTATTTTAATATTTTTATAGTACTATAAATTTTGAGGACAATTAATGAAAACACCTGAAAATTATTGAAAATGCATGAAAGAGAATGAAAAATAATGCAAGACATATATAATGCTTCTACAGTAGAAGTCTATAATACTTCTACAGTTTATTATACACTGAATTGTCATGACAAATACTGAATTTTTATGAATTTTGCTGAATAATACGTCATTACAGTCCTCGTGTTCAATGATTTTCACTGTAATTTTAATGATTCGGACTAAATTATTAATGAAATTTTAATGAAATAATATTGGAAGTGGGTCAATTGATAGAGATTTCGGAATGAAATTTAGTAAATTTCGACGATATTTCATCATTTTTCATTACAATTTCAATAATCAATGATATTTCATCATTATTCATCATAATTTAGGAAAAAATTTCCATCAGGACCACCTTGGTTGCTTAACAAAAAAATGCCAATGTTAATACGGTTCAGTGGCCAGTTCGTGACATCTTAAGGCTGTATTTAAGACTGTCATTATATAAATTGAATTAAAATTTTTATTTTTACAAGGGATTAAATAGTGAATCTTAATTATTGCTGCCTTAATATTGAGTAATAAACGTATTTTATAATATGAATTTTAATCATAAAATAATTCTAATCATTAATAATGAAAATAGTAAATATTAATATCAACTTGAAAATAATTTTATTATTTCTACTGCATTATATTTTACTTTATTTTCTTTTATTAGTTTTCTTTATCTTTAAAAATGCTTTTTTATTTAAAAAGTAAAATTAAAATTTATATATGTGTTTATTCTAGTAAATAATTACTTTATAGAAATATACCGTTATACAAAGATAAATAAAAATTGATTTTTTTATAGGTTGAAATTTTTATCTACTTATGTTTTGGATAAACATAGTGGTATCCCTGATGAATTATTATATGGAAGAGCTGGATATTTAACTGGTTTACTTTATTTAAATTCAAATATATTTCCAGCTCCTATAGAAGCAGATCTTATCAAAAAGGTAAGAATTTTATATATAAGAAAGGCATGTAAATTGATTTTTATTAAAAAATATGAAAGCATTAACTTTATTTGTCGTTATTAAAAAGAAAATAAGATTCTCATTTGTATTAAAATTATCTATAGGTTGTTTCTTGTATAATTAATTCTGGAATATCATATGCTACATCAAATCGTAGCCAGTCACCTTTAATGTATTCTTGGCACGGTACAGAATATATTGGTGCTGCTCATGGATTAGCAGGCATATTGTATTTGCTCTTGCAGGTATGTCGTATTTCGTGGTTGTAAAAGTATTTTGTGGGAAACGATGCATTATTTTAATCTATTTATTATTTGAATCTCTTTATTATTTTATTATCTTATTAGTACTTGAAAACACATTACATTTTTATTTTGTCAATCAAAATTTTGTTTTTATTTTCTCAATCTAATTTTTTTCTTTTTTTAGGCACGACAATATTTAACGCAAGTACAGATCGATGATTACATTAAACCATCTTTGTATTATCTTCAAAAATTACAATTTTCTTCTGGAAATTTTCCTTCTTCAATTGGCAATTCTTCTGACAAATTAATACATTGGTGTCATGGAGCACCTGGAATGTCTGCATTATTTTGTTTGGCTTATAAGGTCGTATAAATTTTATATAATATTCATTAATTTAATAAAAGTATTTAAATAAAAAACTTCCATTCAGTCAAAGAAACTACGTAGTTTATGGATACTTTTAGACAATTATTAACTCGCAAACTGCATAGCTTTTTTGAAGAAAATATCCGTGGAAGTCTCGAAAGTAACATCCATTCACTGTTATTAATATAATTATAGGTGTTTGAAGACAATACATTTCTAGAGACTGCAATACAATGCGGAGAAGTAACATGGGAACGAGGACTACTAAAAAAAGGATATAGTATTTGTCATGGAGTTGCTGGAAATGGTTATACTTTTATACATTTATTTCAACAAACAAAGGTTTGATTTTAATTCTTGAATATTTATTGAATATACAAATATTTGATAGCAAATTCGATAGCTTGCATATTGAATATAAACTTTATCGATGCCACACATTTGATTGTATTTGTAATGTCTTCTATCTTAGTATTAAAAGATTTTCTAATATTTAGTTAGATTGTACTATTATATCTCACGATCAGTAAACAAGAATAAATTAAAATGGATTGAAACTTTAATCTAATTAAATCCGAATATGTATTTCAGTAGCATTCATGTTCTATTTTCACTTTTCCTTAGAATCAATTGAATGAAAAAACTTTTTTTTAGATTCAATTAGATTGAAAAAAACTGCAGTTCCTATTCAGAATTTTGAATTGAGCAGTATTTACGATGCACCCCATACAGCACCGAAAGTGTTTTCAGAAATATCTCAGAAAAATTTCAACTGAAAAGTGAAACGTTTCATAAAAATTGCGAAATATGTCTGCAACATTTCTGAGATAGCTCTGAAATAGCAAAATGTCCACGATTTTTGCACATGAAATCTTGTTGAAAGATTGATGAAATGTTATAGCAGAAAGAATCTGTAATCTTTTTGAAATATTACCAAAGAGGTTTCAGCCATTTTTTATATTACAAAAATGATATTTGATTGATACTTAAATAATATTTAAATTTATTATGTCGACATAATAAATTTGAACATTGTTTAACCATTTTTGTTCTGTTTAAATATGTTTTTCAATTTATTGCAGATGATAGATTTTAGAAACATTTCTATTAAAACATTTCATATGACATAATGCAGAATCCTTTCAGAATTGTTGCACATGAGACATGAAAGGTTAAAACATTTCTGAAAGCTTTCCGCAATAATCGGTGCTGTATGGGACAAGAATTGAAATTTTTTTTAGATTGAAAGAAATAGAAATGTACTTTCACGTAATTTCTGCAAATGTGAAAATAAATAAAAATGCATTAAATTTAATTCATTTCAACGTTTGCAAATGCGTATTTCTGAAAATCTGAATTCATTTCAATCAATTTTAATCAATTCTGGTTTACTGGGATGTGAATTTTATGTTGTGTTCGATCGATGACTAAAACATGCTGATGTTAAATTCATATTTGAAATTTTATATATATATATATACATATATACACCGGATGATCATCTGTACTCCCCATTTAAGTTATTTCTCCGGCTATGATAGCGCTAGAAAGTTGAGATTTCAAAATTTCAGTACCGTTGACATTAGCATTTCTTAAGGTGTACTGTGTGGAGATCGCATGGTCGGATTTACTCTTCAGGATACTTGATTAAAGTCTCCGACCGTGCAGAAAGATCTTAACTAAAAAGGATTTGTAACCAGTGTTTCGAAAACTTCTTGACGGCAGCTACAAGAATATTCAATGAAAGATAAGGTTCTCATTTAAAAAATTCAAATCGACCTTGAGACATGACCTTTACGATGCCACCCAAGGTCAATCACATATACCCATGTAACGCATTACTTGAACCCCAACATCTCTCTCTCTTTTGTTTGAAACATTTTTTAAAATAATTACTTCCCTCATTTTTAAATGGGTGTACGGGTGGTTTGAAACACCCGGTATATATATGTATGTATACATGTACATACATACATATATAAAACATATATTATAAATGAAGACAAATGCTTTTGAGACTTTCATGCGTATTTTCTTAAAAGATGATAATCCGCCAGAAAATTGGCGGATTATCACCGTGTCTATCTATTGCTAATTTTAACGTTTCGTTAACCTTGTTGTTCACTTCATCAGGTTGAGGAGTGCACTGATATTGAGCAGTGAGTTGCTCCTCCAGAGAACTCCCTTTATATAGACGCTGTTAAGGAAGGCAAGGATATGGAGAGGGGGGAGAGCAAAGGCAAAGGCACTTCCTTGATTTGTCAAGAGAGCAGTCTTCCATATCCTACTTACGTTATAATCTGATAGTCCGGGAGATGACACTAATTTGGTCATAAACTATTAGTCGTAAACTATCCAAAAAACGAAATCCGTAACAAATCACTTTTTAGTTAAATTCGACACTTTAGAACGAGTATAGCAACCTCTTAGACCTACTCAAACGGTATATCATGTGGATTTTTGCATGTTTCATAGTGAAAATAAGTAGTATACAAGAAAACAGCCGTAACAAATCTTGGTTTTTTTTTCCCCCACTAAAAGATTTATCACTTTAGCTTATAGCGAATTCGATTGGACGCACTCAGTGCGCACTGGTGCACATTAAAGCCGTCGTACACGAAATAACGTAAAAATATGTTTATAAATAAACATAGAGATCGATTAAATCGTGAAATACTTAATACATTTTATTGTACTATTAGGTAAAATATGTATTTCATAATTCGAAATATTTTCATTTCATTTTTATACTTAAATTAAATTAGTGTACAACGGCTTTAATATGCACCAGTGCGCACTAGTTCTTCCAATCGAATTCGCCATTAGTTTAACGGTTGCTTCGGCCTACAGAAACAGTATAGCACCTACCGCGATCGGTTTTTTTATTTACGAAAATTATCACTAGAAACAAACGCCAGCAGCGGAATTCTGTAACTCGTTATGCAATCGTTATGCGGGGTCTACAATAGTAGCGGTACAAATCGTAGCGGTCGTAGAGTCTTAAGTCGTAGAAAATTAATCAATCACAGTCGAATATGAAAAGAATAATCGACTATGATTGGTCAATTTTCTATGACTTAAGACTCTACGACCGCTACGACTTCTATTGTAGACTCTACATTATGTGCTCATAACGACAGTTACACTGAGGGTCGATTCTGTATTTTCTGGGGATGTATTGAAATTAATGAGCGGTAGTGTATGTATATACACACATACATACAAAAAAATTTTCACTTTTCACGTTTCCGCCCTAGGAAAAAAATTACATGATCAATACCCTGGGTTTGTATTCTGTAACTCGTTATGCAGTCGTTATGAATTCATTTCCTAGGGCGGAACGTGAAAAGTGAAAATTTTTTTGTATGTATGTGTGTATATACATACACTACCGCTCATTAATTTCAATACATCCCCAGATTTGTTGAGTTCTCTATAAAGGATGAACTGTCGTTTTGTCCATATAAGAGCTATAAAACTTTTGTATTAAGGAAACATCTACATCAGGTGACAGCTCTACGAATTGAAAAAATGTAAGTTTTTAACTTTTTTTTCGTATAAAGATTTTAGTATAAAGTCTACTATAGCACCATCAAACTTTGCGTCTACTTTAATCTTGTAAAAGGATTTTTGATTCCGTTCAGTAAATTCGGAGATTTATATCGATCTGTAAAGTACCGACAATTTGGTCACTCCAGCATACCCTTAAATCGTAGAAAATTGACCAATCATAGTCGATTATTCTTCTCACATTTGACTGTGATTGGTTAATTTTCTACGACTTAAGACCCTGCGACCGCTACGACTTCTATTGTAGACTCTGTATAAAATACGAGAAAGACCAGAAAGACCATTCTCTCGGTCATCGGAGATTAATCGACTCCCCACTACCTCTCATTCCCCCCCCCACTCTCTCTCTCTCTCTCTCTCTCTCTCCTACCATAAAAAACAGCGTATATAAAGGGAATCACCTGGAGAGACTGGAGGAACATTGGAGCTCACACTCAGTATCAGGTTGCTCCTCGCCCTGATGAAGTGAACTGCAATGTTCACGAAACGTTGGCATTCTAAGAATGGACACGGAGATAACTCACATGTCTGTATAGAAAGTGCCTCAAAAGTATTGTTATTATATTCATTTTAGAATATCAAATACTTATATCGGGCTTGTAAGTTTGCCGAATGGTGTTTTGATTATGGATTACATCAAAATCGATCTCCTGATAGACCTTTTTCTTTGTTCGAAGGTAAATCAATTATTGAACTGGAAAAAACTAATTCGAAAATACATATAATATTTCAAACATGTTTTTTACATAATGTTATGTATTTATTATTTATATTTTCAGGTCTTGCTGGTGTTATTTATTTTTTATTAGATATGCAACAACCACATTTAGCTAAATTTCCAATGTATGATATTTAAATAAAAATATAATTATTTACAAAGTTAATAAATTTTTTATATTATTAATAAATATGTTATATTTAAGTTTAAACATCCTTAAGTCAGGGTTGGCAACGTTACCTCATAAAAATAACTTGTTACCGTTACCGTTCTTTTTCCTAAAAAGTAATTCGTCATTGTTACTCGTTATTGATTTTCAAAAGTAACTCGTCACTTAAAATGTAACGAGTCATTACTTTTTTTCTTGACACTAATTAATAGAATATTATAGCGTTTTTTATTGGCAGAACTCAGTTCACATTAAAACCGTTGTACACTATTTTAATTTGTACGTAAAAATGAGATATCTCAATTAATAAAATGCCCAAAGTATATTTTATCAAATAGCATAATAAAATGTATCAAGTGACGCGGTAGCGTCTTCCGTCAAGTTTTTTTTTAAGTTAATACGTTAAAAACATTCTTTTTATGTTATTGTGGAGGTGATAATGCCATGTCATAAAAGAGACGCTACAGCGTATCCTTTACAAGAAAGAAGACGCTTATTATGTAATTAAAAATTGTTTTCTTCAAATAAATTGATATTATAAAAAAGTGCATATATTGGAGAAGAATATAGATTTTTACAATTAAAATGAGATGAACAATGTTCGTAAATAAATTTAATTACATTTTATTATACATCTATAGAAATACATATATGTATATATGTGAAATTCAAAAAATACAACAATTTTAGCGATGATTTAGAACGTGTATGAAGAATAATAAGAAATAGTATTTTTTTTTATCTGTGCGCTAATGAAGATGTATGGAAATGATATTATAAGATATAATATTATAATTACGAAAATCTCAACTTTTTTATATAACAACTACTTTAAATATTCAAGATGATTTATGTAAAGTTTCACTGCGATGCAGAGATTGGTTATATTCTTTTGGAAATAAACAAAATATCTCGGTTGAAACTTTAACATTGTTAAATTATGTTTTGTTTATAAAAATTTATAATTACAAGCATATATATTATATATATATGCTTGTGTATATATATATATATATGCATAATATATATATATATATATATTTAATTAACTAGCTTAGTTTATCAACCCTTCTTTTTATCTATTTTATTGTTAACAAAATATATATTATTCGTTTATTTATAAAACTCCTAATCCTTGCGTCGCAATGATATTTATAATTGCATTTAAAAAATTTAAAAGTACTTACGCACATAAGTTATTTAGATTAATTTTGTTATTATGTATTTTTCAAATTTTATCTATAGTATTGTAATAACAAAATAAATAAAATGTTTGAAATACAATTTTCATATGTATATATAGTTCATTTAAAATATAAAGATGAACACATTTATAAAATGCGTGTAATATAATATTGATACTTTTAAGCGAAGCAAACATCACGCGCACGTAAGATTGCAAAGATGAATACCATATTTTTGATCCACAGTTCGTGAAGTAGCACGATTTACCGACCAAATATCGATTTATCATCTGCAGCCTTGAAAAGTGGATGTATGTGCCCTCAGATAAGTGGATATTGCTGTGTAGTTTACATCCACTTTGTCAGGGGACAGTAGTGCGCGGCAGTATTTCGCGGTTACTCCGGATCTACAATAAGTTTTTAAGCCTTAAGCCATAAGAAATGGACGAATCACAGTCGTTTATCAAAATGACAAATACGATTGGTCAATTCCGATGGACTAACTGGCCAGTTAAGTGACAGTGGCTGCGTTCAGCAGAGAAAGCAGCTTTGCACTGTTGTAAAATTCTTCAATATGATTGGTTTATACATTTAGATCTGTCAGGAACCAAAAGCAAGAACCAATCGTATTGAAGAATTTTACAACAGTTGCAAAGCTGCTTTCTCTGCTGAACGCAGCCATAGGGTCTCTGCTCTAGATCTCTAGCAAGCGTTGCCGCGTGGCGCGTTCTGTGTGCAGGAGCCATTATGATTTATTCAGATTTATTGCAGTTGGGAATGTGGTTGAGTGATATAATTAGTAATGGTATAATGGATATGATTAACAAGCGCGAGGTAGTTATGAAGGAAGAGGTAAAAAGTGTGTTAAATATTGCATTATTTTGTACCAAAAGGAATTAGTAGAGTAATACATCTTATATGTGAAAGAGAACTGAAAAAGTAATCTGAAGTTAAAGGTTATTAAGAGTATGAGGAAAATGATTAATAAGGTACAGAAGCAACAAGGATAAAATAAAAGATGGGAAAAATTTATACTAGTAAATTTTTGCTATTCTGATTATCAGAATAACATGCTATATATGTTGAACGTTGAGCTTTGCATCTCTTCTTAAAAATCACTTTCAAGGGAAATAATTTCGCATAAAAATGACAGATCCCTCAATGATGAATACGAACCAGACATACTCTTGGAATACCGAGGTGTTTCAGCAGAATGCAAAATATTATTCAACTCCTCAAATATCGAATTTTTCTGACTATTCTCAACCTCCCAATTATAACTCGTCATATTCCTACAGCGTACCTCCTCCAAATATTTCTCTTAATATATCAAACGTTCCTTCTTCAAATATATCAAATATTCCTCCTGATGTTAACTCGACAAATTCAACGTACTACGCATCTAATACCTACCATAATGAAACCAATTTTCCCATTAATATTCCTTGTCAGAACCAAACGAATTCACAGTATTATAGCAGAATAGATTCTACACAAGAATATATGAGTGAGAATTATGCCAACTGGAATATGAAATCTGAAAATGTATACAATGATAATACTGGTAATGAATGGTACTCTAACAACTCTTCCATGAGCTGGACAACGTATGCATCTACTTCGTGGTATGATACAAGTACAACAAAATATAATGACAAGGAAAGATTAGATCTGACGCAAACGTATGAAGCATCGCAAAGAATGGAAGAATGGAGATACAATAACAGAGAAATGTCCAAGCGTGCAGTTAGTAAACAGAGATCTAAAAGTCCACATAGTACAAAAGAGAAAGTGTACAAATCACAACATAAAAATTACAGAGACAGACATCGTCATCATAATAGAGAAATATCTAATTCAAGAGACTCTTCATATGATAGCAAGCATTTTGAAAAATCTAAACAACATGGATCTCATACATCCTGCTCAGAAGAATCGTACATAAGCAATAGAAGTAGGAAAAGATCGAAATCACGGGAGCCTCATTTATCCAAGGACATTACACCAACTAATAACAGTAAACGAACAAAAAGTCTTACTGAGAGAGAGATATTGTTAGAGAAATATAGGTAAGAGTTTTGTATATATCTTTGCATATAAGACTGGTTTTTCTGGAAAAAAGAAATCAATTACTGTATTGATTTTTATCCTATACAATTTGCATCCTACATGCAAGAGTTACATAAATTTATTTACTTTTTTTATTTACATTATCAAGAAAAGGCATCATTTATAAATAAATGAAACTTAATTCACACATCCATCCATATCTCTATCTTATTTACTCTATACGTCTATTTAAATTAGTTAAACTAGGTTAAGCTATACTTAACCTAGTTATTGCTGTATCCTAAATCTATCACTGTCACAAAAAAACCAGATCTGTACATTATCTTTTGACTTATATTACCTATTACAGTTATGCTTCTTATAAACTTTCTCAGCCCTTATTGTTTAATCACATTTAGTCACTACTCATTCTTTCTTCTTTCTTCTTCATAATACTTGTCCTACATCATATCTATACATCTAAGCCTTTCCTCTTCTCCTCCTTCATTCTCTTTATCTTCTTATCTATTTTTTTCTTTTTATTTCTTTAGAATCTTGCTTTTAACTATATTTAGTTCTTCACTCTAAAATCTACTCTACATCACCTTATTCTTGGCCAATTTTATGAATATGCTTGTCTTCTGATACTAGTCTATACAATCTATTTCCATACCGCAAAATATATATTTCCAATGCTTTTTCTTTAATCAAAACTCATTTGCTTCCTCCATATTCCTTGTGAGAGCTATACATAATGTGTCTAAAAAATTTAAATAAACTTTTTTTACATTAGACGTAATTATTGTGCAACGAGTAAGGACATAAAGCGAAAACTAAATGAATTATCAGTATTGGGATCTAAAGGTTTACTTGAAAGTGAGAAAAAGATTTGGACACGCACATCGCCAGCAGATTTGTATTATGTGAGGGATGAAAATAATCCAAAAATAGTGAAAAGTACTTTGAAGCTACAAGAATTATGTGTAACGTTTAAGAAAGTGTTAATAGACAGAGCAGCTGCAGCGAGAGAATTGCAGGTATATTTATGTTCATAATTGTATAAAGAAATTATATAAAATTATATTATGTTATCTTACCTTTAGCCACCTTATGAACCACCTCCAAGAAAAACAAGAGCACGTCTTTGTCGTCATAAATCTGAAGCTTGCAGTAGCAGCTCTTCATCCGATAGTGATAATTCTATGGATGAAGATGACAGAACAATGGAAGAATTAATGGCAAAGAAACAACATCCACAAAGATTGCATCCTGAAATGTGGTTTAACGATCCTGGAGAAGTAATATCAAGAAATGTTTTATAAGTTAATTTTTTTACATTGGCCTTAACATTTCAAAATATATTGCAATTTTTTTTTAAATTATAGATGAACGATGGTCCATTATGTAGATGCAGTGCAAAATCGAGACGTTCAGGTATAAGACATGGGATCTATGCTGGAGAAGGTGCGATAAATAAGTGTGATTTAAATACGAACAATGCAGATAAATTATATCATTATAGAATAACCATTAGTCCGCCGACAAATTTTCTCACAAAGACACCGACGATTATTAAACATGACGAACATGAATTTATATTTGAAGGCTTCTCCATGCTTTCTCATTTTCCATTGGTTAAGTTACCTACGTGCAAAGTTATAAGATTTAATATTGAATATACAATTCTATATATAGAAGAGAAATTGCCGGAAAATTTTACAATACAGGAACTAGAC